TACTCCTGATTTTCATCATTATGGCTCAATTGTAAGAGGACTTCCTGGCATCAAGGAGTGATCATAGAGGCTATTGAGACCTCATGAGACTTATGAGTGTCTTTTCCACGGCATAACCAAACTGCCCTGACCAGAACAGGAACTTCGTGAGCTGGCAAGTGTGACACGAGACAAGAAAAATGACATTCCAGCATTGGAGCAAAAGTTCCTCACTGTTATGCCATCATGAAACTGAAGATTTCTTCTACTTTGTAAGATCTTTCAGGGAATGTTCCACTCCTGTAGTTACTAAAAAGGATTGACTCCCTTCCGAGGTAATCACCAGTCCTTTCAGTAATTCATGGTGGATTTAGCCAGATATGAGAATATTTTCTTGGAGAATGACATGGAAATTTTTTCACAGATTTGTAGCTGTTTGGCAGCAGCTATCATGGATTCTGCTAGACTTCTGTCAGAGGTTTCTACTTGGCATGCTCTGTCAAGCACAACAGGAAGAAAAGGTTGGGTTTCCCAGAAATTGGAGTTCTTGCATTCTCATCCATTGTGTCCTAAGTAGCCATAGAATGCAACTTGTGTTTCTAGTTGCCAATCTGGTAACTAAAATCAGAAGTATTTTGATAGTTTAGCTATGTGCTGCTTTCCCCACCCCAATTTCTTCTCTGCAACTACTAGATACTCTTTACCCCATATGCACAGGAACTTCTCCAATAACTGAACTGAATGCCTCTGTACACTGGGAGAACTTTGTGGGTGAACTGCTGTGGGCCCAAGTAGTTTTTAGGACAACCTGCAAGATGGAGCTGGAACAAGCATTGCCATCCTAATGGGCAGGTCTCCTTGGCTGTAAAGCTTAGCGTGCCTGAGGAGTTCAGGTTTTAGTAGAAAATTTGCCATTCTGTAAAAACATTTTTGAATAAAAAAATTTTTGAAGTCTTCAGTTCTTAAAGATTTTTTGTACTATTTTTAGATCATTTGGTGTTGTATCTACTGTCCCTCAAGAAATACAATATTGCAGCTCTGTAGCAAAGCAGAGCCTTAGACCAGACTGTTCTCAAGCTTCTGTCTCTAGAGCAGTGATGGTATCAAGACTAGAGCTGCTAACACCTCTTCCGTGGAGCTACGAACTTTCTGTCAGCAGTCCTGAAGATGCCATCGGGAGGTGGCTATTATTCTTCTGATGGTTGCAGTTCCCTCTTTCTCTTATCATTTCTTTCTCTTTTACATTAGAGTAGATCCCTACAACTTACTAAACATCACAGCAGATCTTGAGTTCTTGAGACACAAAGAACCCTCCATCATATAATTTGTCCCTCCTCAATCTCTTAATACATTATTTCTTCTTTCTCCAAGAGTCTACTTCAAGTGGAAATGCTTGTGTTCTGAATGGAGGGCATTTTCACAGAGGAATGGGGGTGTTTGGGCCTAATTTGAGTGGGAGAGGCTGAAAGTTTTCATCCATGGGTTCAAGAGCAGTAGTATGGTGGCTACGGAGCCATTTGAGAAAGAAGCTGGTATCTTCCTTTAGCTCTTCTAGATGTTTATTTTTGTACCTTACAGAAAGTCGTATTTTACATCTTACCTTCCAAAATACTTGTGCTTCACTGTGGTTCAGCACCATTATCAGGACTGTCTCAATGAATATCAGAGTGTTCAGCAAGATGTCTGCAATCATTACAGCCCATATCAAATGAAATAATAGAGTATTTTTTCCTGGATGATGGCTTGGTATGAGGTTCCTAGTTCCTCCAACCTACCGATAACTAAACATTCTTCCACCACTCAGAGAAATGCATTTCATGGTGAATGCTTATGAGTTTTGCTTCACACTGCTCAGTCTATGATTTGTACCCAAATAAATATGGGTGTGGAGGTTACTGTGTTACATTTTGGGAGTGCACATGTATGCTGTGCTGTGATTATCAGTTAACGGAGTTCTTTGAGACCTGCCATCCACAAGCGCACTCACCATCCACCTTCTCTCCCTTTCCTGTATTGTGGCAGAATGGGAGTTAAGAGGAAACCCATCTGGTGCCAGGCATTTCCTGCTCCGTGTACCTGAGTGTGCACCAAGGCAGTCTGGGGTTGCCACCACATGTGTCGAAAACTGAGAGAATAAGAACTTCCAGCCTCACATGACAGTGCAAATGGACATTCACAGTGTGAATGTTTGAGCTGATTACACATCCTCGCGAATTCCAGTTACTGGTTCATAGCTTTTTGTGAAGAGCTACTATCATTCATTTAACAAAAGCAAATTTGTACCGGGAGGGGCCCATGGACACTTTGCCTTTGTTGAATATGCATATTGAGGTTGTTCTATCAGTAAGTTACTAGCCTGAGTATCACCAGACTAAAACAGTACTGCTTCAAAACTAAACTGTTTATAAAAAAGTGTTTTGCTTTTGAATATCCACCTTTCTATGTGTGGCAGCTGGAGATCGAAAATGCAACCCTGAATGCGTATCAAATGCTCATTGTCACAAAGTGCTCTTGACACCCTGTGTGTCCACCTCATGGTGCTCGCCTCCCTAAGCTTTCTTACTTCCCCAGTACTTGTTGTTCAGCTCCCCCTGTGCCCTTCTCCCAGGTTGTGGGGGAAGAGATGCCCATGTCCTTCTGTCTCCACAAGTCTACCTGCTGGGTGGAGCTGCTGTGGTCCTGTTCTGCTGAATGGCTGGGGCAATGCTCTCTTGTTGCCATGCACAGGCGGCCTTCGGAATGCACGTGTGTTGTCATGTGTGACTCTGGAATCCTTAGGAGGAAATGACACGATATTGAGATTAAAATGTTACTGAGATAAAAGCCTGTAGCAGTTCATACTTAAAGGAACAACTGCATGAGATGTTCCAAATGCAAGGTACTGACCGGTTCACGGGAGTTCCTTGTGTGAATGGTGAGGCAGTTGGTTGAAGAATTCCAAGACTTGTGTTTGCTGAAAGAGATTAAATTGCTTTACTTGCTGTACAGTGATGACATAGGGTTTGCGTGTTTCAGAGCACTGATGCCAGCAGAATGCATGACACTACAACACAGCAATATTATTAGGTATTTTGGGTGGAATGTAGTTCATAGATTAGGATACCTACGTTGAGATCTTGACATGTGAGTAACAGCCACTGTCTCAGGCAGTTGCCCACACGTAGGTGAGATGACCTGGGGGTATCCTGACGGGCTTCCTGCTGCTGTTCCAAAGGGACACAAGTTTTCCATAGGTCATGCATCATCTGCATTAGCTCCATGCAGCCGTCTTTGCATTGCAAGTGGAAGTATAAGGCTGTGTGTAGACAAGTGGATTCAGCCTTATTTTCCTACCTCTAGGTAAGCGGAATCACTTTCTAAACCCCACTGACAGGATCCAAGTTGATTGTAATGGGAGACATTTAACACCTAAATTCAATCATTTATACAAGTGACCAGGATCCTTCCAGTTTAGTAAAGGTGCTGTAGGTCTTAGGAGACAGCGGCAGGGGAATCACGCTTTTTCCTTAACAGTTGGCTGGAAGGGCTGAGACACATTGCTACGGCAGAGGGTACAGCCCAGCGTGGCACTCAAGCCCATTGCCTCCCTAACTTTATCCGTTTCAGGATTCAGGGCTTCCTGAAAATATTGTCCCACCTGAGAGCTCACAAGCCTCTGCTTCTCCCACGTGAGCAGCAAGTTTTGCTGAGGCTTAGGGGAGGGGATGCAGGCTGTCCCCAGGGCCACCTCTTCTGTGCTGGAGCAAAGTAGCCCTGCAGGTCAAGGTGCTCCACCTCCCTGAAGAGACACCACCAGCCGGAGGTGGGCAGGCCACACAGGATGGCATGGGTGAGCACATAAAGTTACCACAGTGGCAATGCCTACAGCCAGCAATTTCACCATTTTGAGGAATGTGGACAGGTAGAATCCCAGTTCTACACCGGTATATGATGGTATTGATACATCGTGACCCCAAAATGGTGCCAGAGCGCTTCAGTCTGAAAACAAATGACAGCAAATACTTTCTTCTGTCTCCTGGGCAGGTGTTGTTCCACGGCTGCTTAAAGTTGCTCCTGCTTGTGCCATAATGATCAGCACATACGAATATGGAAAGTCTTTCTTTTCTCATTTAAATGAAAAAATGAACCGTCCTTAATATTTCTCCATCCGATTGTGTGAGGCCAAAATGCACGGTGAAATACATTGTGCCAGATTTTAATCTGTCAAGGCATTTTCCAGAAGACCCAATGAATTTCTGCCACCACATTTGGTAACTAAATACAACTTCATTTTTGTTTCACAGCAGATAAATTCACTCTTTTAAGACTAAGAAAATACACATGACCCATAAGCTATCACTGAAGATTTTGTGAATTCTCTTGCAGCTAAAGGAAAAAAAGGAAAGAAAGGAGAAGGAAAAAAAAAGGTGCTCTGACTGTTCTTCAGGGATGATTAAAAGGGGGAAAAAAAGTTGAGGCTGGACAGAGCAAAGAATAACCATTGCCACTGTTTCAATTTTCAGTCTGACTAAAGGGTCTTTTTGCTGGGTATTTAAAATGATGTTTAGAAAATATTTTGGGTTTCCAATTGTGTGATATGATTATTCCTCTGTAATGAGGTTGATAGAGAATTAATTCAATAAATCCTTATTTATTCTTGCTTAAGACGTTTAATTCTGTGCATGTTTATTATTTGCAGCTCTGTATTTTGTGTAAATGCATATTATAAAATAGTCTTTGGCTTCTCAGGTTTATTTAAAATGAAAAATGCTTTAGGTCAAACTGGAAAAAGTACATCGTGCCCATTAGAAACCCAGAGAGCGTGGTGAATACATGATAGGTGCTGCAGTGGCTTTTTAGTTTGAAGAGGTGCTCTAAGAATTCGAAGCACACCAAGGCACGGAAGGCGAGGGCCTGCACAGGTGTTCCGGAGGAACAAGCTGCCTGCCGGGGGGCACTCCCCATACCCAGTTTGTATGGGGTCACCTGGTTTTGCAGGCCAAGTTCACTGGCCTAGGCAGGGGTGGGTCCGTGCCGGTTTGACTCAGACGTGCACCAATCCCAGGGCCGGAGCGCATTTACTTTACTACTGCGGACGCAGCCGCTGTCTGCCACGGGGTGCTGCACGCAGCAGGGGTGAACAGTTGTGGCATCTCCCTTGCCCCTAGGCACTTGAGTTCCTCAATCAGAGTTTCCTTGGTATGTTTTTTGTTGTTTTAATTATTTTTTTAACTACCCTCTCTACATCCCTTCTTTCATGCATTTTCAATGAAGTGGTTGAATTTTATTTTTGCGTATTTTAATGAGAGGGTGCGCTGGTACAAAAGCAACTCAGTAGTCAAGGTCATTAAGACACCAACTTTCATGTGTGCTTTACCCAAGAAACAGACTTCAGCCCTGCTCTACTATGAAGGTGGCAACCCAGCACATGTTTGGCCTTGGTGAAAATTCATCGCCCACTGAAAAATGCTCCAGGTGGAAAGACATTAGCTACAAACTTAGAGCATACGCTGCAGGCGAGAGGTGCTGCCACAGGAGGTACTCAACACCGTTCCCCCACCGTGATTTCCAAAGTAATTTTACACTACAACCTCAGAATAAGGCCTAAGAGAAAGAAAGTAGTAACAGTAGATTTTTGACCACATTGAAAGAAATACAGCAACAAAACCAAAGTCTTCCTGTTTTGCAAGAAAAGAATTTGCTGCGAGCTCAGTAATAGTGTAATTTTCCAGATGGTCTTATTTTATCCTGTATGATTAAAACGGAGACAAAAACTAGTAATTAGTGATGATACAAAATGTTTAATTTACATGCAACATTTATGGAACGTCAAGGCAACAAAACATACAGTTTGGGCATTTTTTTTTCAGTTTTTTTGAAAAATGGCTAATGTTTAGAACTGAGAAAGACACACAGAACTGATTTCCCATGCACAAAATGACACCCAGAAACTCACAGCGGTGTCAGACTACACAAAAGACTTCAGTTAAATGACACATGAATTTCACACCAGTGGCTCCAAGAAAAGAGCCATCAGCGAACATGACTGGAGATCATGATTATAGCCCCCTCTGAAATACTGCTGTCGTGGGATGTGGAAGTTTAACAGCAAACAAGACTGATTAAGTCACTGTACCTCAATGCAGAACATCAACTTGTGGAATCTGGATTTCCTTGCTATCCTTGTAGTAAAAATGCATCTCTGGCTTACAAATTAGCATTTAATAATGTCACTCAATTGCCGTGAGAGAACAGGCGCTTAATGTGGTGACAGAAAAACCCAGTTACATGAAGTAATGGACATTCTGACAGTGTATGAAAGGATTTAATGGTCAGAGTTTATTACAGAGAAATTAACTGGGTGGGTAAGATGAGGGCTTGAAAGACAAGGTCTGGTGGATTTTGCTAAGCTGCTTTAAAAATCTGCATTAAAATGGCATTGGTAGTAGTTCACCCTGCCATGGACGCAGTAACCTCCGGCACTGTGGACTAGAGAGTTGAGGAGATGTATCCGGAGCCTCCTCCAGCTAAACCCAACAGCGCCTTGAGTTCCAGAGATGCGTAGCCTCACGCTTACAAAGGCTAAGCATTCCCTGTAGTTTTTAATAAAGGTAAGAATGAATCCTCTTTCTTTCAAGCCCACCCGCGGATGACCAGATTACAGTAGTAGTGCCAAGGTACTGTTACAAGAGGCAAATCAACTAAAACCGTACGGAGTGTTGTGACATACTGTAAACACCTAAGAGTAAGCAATAATTAAAAATCTGTCTTGTATTGCAGCTACTCATGTAAACAATTTATGAAACTTCTTTGGCACAAAAAAGCATTTTCCCTAGCACTTATAAATACAACGTACTTACATGCATTTAAGTTTTGTTTAAAAAGTTACTAATCATACCGATAAGCATTACCTTGATTAGCAAAATTGTATCTTACAAAGAATTAAGAATACAGTTTGCAATTCAAAAATTAATTTGCAAACTTCGAAACTGTAGGGTAATCTGGAAAGTTAGTTTCATTTAAAAAATTTCTCCCTTTTTTTTTTCCTATCAGTATTTTAAACCAATGGCAAGTTAATTTGAGAAAACTGACTTAAATAAGTTCTGCCATATTACCTAATCAAGAAAAATACCTATTGCACTACTACAGGAATGAGAAAAATATTTAACATGAGGAATACTGTCATTATATTGTCTTTGATTCCCTTTTTTCACTCTCCTTGGGATCTTGCCAATAAACACACAATCCAAACTTCCCAAGGTGCTAACCCCACCAACCCTAGTCCCCATCTTTCCAGCAAGGCCAATAAACCAATAAATTTCTCATATAGTCTTTGATCTTCTGTAGCTCAGGTCACTCAAAAGCATCCAGTGAGTTTCCTCAACATGTACAAATTGCAAAGTATGCTTGATTTAGATGATCAACTTACATTTGTTATTCACATGCAATTTCAAGAATTAGCAAGAGTGTTTCGGTGTGATCCTTCAGTGCGATTCAGGCATCTCCTAAGTGCCCTGATACTAACAGGAATGCAAAGTCTAACACTGAGTCAACTTGAGAAGAGCTGTTGATAGGTTAAATATGCTATTTGAGGTCCTATGCAACATACACAGATGAAAAGCTGGATTTTTAGGCAAAATATTTGTTTGCCTACAAAGACTGGCGTTAAGGATTCCCTGTCTGTTCTGCAAGAGTTGATAAATACTTAAAGCACTGCAGAAAAGCACCGTGGCTAGAGTAGGGCCAGGCCATTGCAAGGAGAAACGAAGGTCATGGCAGTTAAGTGGGGGACTGATTTCCAACTGTTTCATTTTAAAAAATCAGTCATAAGCGTCAGATTTTGTCCTGTACCTGACCAAGAGCTTTAAATAATTCAAGACTAAAATAGAAAATCTGAAAAGTCCTCTGGGGGGAAAAAAAAAAAATTTGAATGAAAACTGACAGAATTTGCGGCTTTTTAAACAGGTAACCATGAAAAGAATAAACAAAGCAGCTTATTTTTTAGCTTAGAACTAGCAGTCTTCATCGCAAGTCATTTTATGGAACATAAACCAAATGCATACAACACAAAGCTCTTCCTTCTTGTGTGTATCTCAAGATGGTGTTAAGCCTGGACTTGTCATCTCTGTTGTGGGACTTGCAAGATATTCACTTGATTTCAGACTTGTGAGAGATTTGTAGCTTGCTACTGAAGTAAGAGAGCCACAAAGACCAAGCAACGATGGAGTGTCTTCCTTCCCTGTTAAGAAAAACAAGAATTAAGCTGATCTTTTTTTACAGCACAAGATGACCTGACCACAAAAAAAATGAGGGAATAAAAAACCTGTTTCATCTACACTATTATGAATTACATATTACCGCTTCAGCACACGCACACTTCATAAATGCAATTAGGAAGACACATAATTTATGCCATAGCTTCCCTGCCCGGGTGGCACACAGATCCCTACCCGTGCACGACAGGCTGGGCTGCTGTCGGGCTCCTACAGAGGGAGATTGCGAGGCTTCACTGACCACAGGGAGAATGGAAGTTACTAATCCAAGCACCGGTTTTAGTCAAGTACATTATACATAAATGGAAGATGTTACTAATACAACATCAGTACCAGAGATCTGATTTTGAATCCCTCAGAAAGGAGTAGAATTAACTGGAATCAGGATATATTTCTTTAAAAATAAACATGTTTCAAGTTATTTTGTGCCAACTGCGCTAATAAATTACATTATAAAGAATCTGATCGACCAGCATCTCCCTATTTAATCCTCCTGGCTCACCTGCAGAATAGAAAAGATTACCTTAAACTGGAGATTAAACTCAATTTAAAAAGGTCACAGGCACAAGATTTTATTGATAAGCCAGTCTACCAGAATTTTTTAAAATCACATCTATAAAGTAGCATTTCTTAAAATTGTATCTCCTGTTCCTGACAGAAGTGTTTTATTCTCATGAGGATGTAAGAAAAAAACCAAACAACCCAAACTGCCCCCTGCTCAACAATTCATTATGAAAAAAAAATAAGTGAGATGTCCTTCTCTTGCATCGTTTATGGTTCTTACTACCAGTTTCCAGTGGATTTTAGGTCTTACCTCTACTGAGCTTTTTTCCAAGTGACTGAATAGCTTTCCCTAAAGAATGAGCTAGATTAGCTCTTTTAAAAAGTCTTCTCTTTTAGAAAAATGTTTATTCCGATAAAAACTACCCTTTAAAGACTACATTCAATTTGAGGAGAAAAAATGCACAAAGAACAGCATAACACTGTTTGGGCACAGCCCTTGATTTCAACAAGTGTGAAGCTAAAAACCTGACTACATGAGTGGGCTGAACAGTAATGTGAAAGTTTACTACTTCTAATCTTTTAATTAAAACTGCCATACTGAGAGTTAGACCAGAGGTATTGGAACTGCAGGATCACATGCTGTGCCTTACAGAATTATATTAAAGGTACTGATGAACCTCAGTAATTTAGAAGTGAGATGTTATGCTACCTGTAAAGACAGAGTCTTGAAATCAAAACCTAAACTATTATTACCAGTGGTTTTGCCACACCTTAATTTACAGAAGATAAAACAAAGCATAACTTCAAATGATTAGTATTGCAAAAAAAGGTTGAAAATAGATCTACACAAGAACTTTCTTAATAATAGCTGTACTGATTCTATTTCACTTTCTCTAAGCTAACTTGAAATAATTTAGATTTTAGACTGTTTACAGTTTTAAAAACAGTTCTAGGTTTTACATCCCTGATATTTTAAAACCAAGAAATTTTACAGTTATGAACTACTAAGGCTCTGTATCATCAAGTCTATCTAAAGTTAACATTTGATGAAATATAAAAAGGATTCTTTATAGCAATTTATGTTCTGTACTCAATATACTACTATTTCAGAAGTCTTCCAGCATTTTTCTGCTTTTCACAATTGCCCACAAGATGGAGCAGCGAAACTTTGGTAAGCATAAAGATTTTGAAAGGGGCTGTGTGTGCGTGCTACATTTGTATACCAGCATGGTTCATATTACATTCCTCTCCCTATTTTAACTGTCAGGCTGCATCTCCACAGATAAATGTTGAATGCAAGATGTAAGAATGACAGTGGTAGCTGCAAAATCCACTGCCTTTAATCTTTCTTTTAAGAAACAAAAAAGAACTCAAAGGATTTGAGTTAGTTATAGCAGAAATATGAGAGAAGATCCTCCTCGTAGCTGAGCTGTCTCTGGTTCTGTGATGGAGAAGGAAGATACGCAACATATTTGAAGCTTAGCTTTAAATACAGCACAAAGTCTTATAATTATCAGGGGGTGGGGTGGGCATCTTCATAAATCCAAACTTATTTGAAGTATAGTCCTTAGGGAACCTGAAACAATTTGCATAACAATGAAAAATATGCTGTTCAATGCCTGAAAATTCATCTCACAGGGACTGAAGATCAGAGCTATGAAGAACAAAATAAAATGAAGCCACTAGACTGGCTCTGTACCTTCATTTAACAAATTCATTCCATCCTGCTTCCCATCCTGTGAGTGACCTGGATCCAGAGAGGACTGAGAAAGACTAACTTCTGCTGAAAGTTGGTCCAGACTTTGAAAGCTTTTCCTGCAAAGCAAGTAATATTTAATATTAACACATTTAACAATCTAACTAGATATCCTCAATTCTCCTTAAACACTCCATTTTTTTTGTTGTTTGTGTCCTAAAACACTGTTTTTTCCTAAAGCAATTATTTCCTTTTTTTTTTTTTTTTTTTTCCCTAAATTACTCCAAAGGAAGGAAATTTTTATAGTAGAGAAACAGATTTTTTTCCTGCCAGCTGATCCTTGTACCTGTAGTAACAGGTAATTCCAATAGGACACATTTCAGAGTATGCTAAGGGAAATGTATAATTTTGAGTTTCCCTGTTCCTCTAAAAGGTGAATCAAAATAAATACTCAGCTTACTCATCCCATTGTTGATTGTGCTTTCTATAGAGTAGAGTGTCCAAGGCAACAGCATTGACATCCAGAGCTCCTGGGGAAGGCCACTGATTGGTGAGGTGAGTAGTTAATTCTTGTCTTGATCTCAAGTCATTATTCTTTAGCACAGTCCTGTGAATACAAAAAGCAGTAAATCTCAGCTTATTAAATGCAATTCCTTAAGTTACAGAAAGAAAAACAGGACAAATAATTCTGACCAAATTGATGTTCTACTTCAAGTGACCAACAGATTGCAGTTTTCATAAAGCATCTTAAACTGTTCATTTTTCCTAGGGGAAGCAACTTAGAATCCTATCGAGATGTATTTAGGATCAGAAAAAAATTTAAATTAGATTCTTTCTGCAAAAGCAATAAAACCCCAACTGCATTCTAAAGATTCTTTCTGCCAGTGTGATGGTAATTAACAGGCCAACTTTTTTGCAAACCAACTATGGGAACGTGATGTCCTCCCTCCCCCCC